AGACAGCATCCGCACCTCGCAGGGGCCTCAGGGGTGTTGCGGGGGGGTCCTTCAAAGGGCCGCGTGGTGAAGGGGGGGTCCCTACGAGGGCTCCGCCCGAGGGTCCTTCCAGGGGGGTGCTCAGGACTCGTCCTCCATGCTGAGGCTGCTGCGGGGGCTGGAGGCACGGGAGGGCCCGGGGGAGGCCAGGAGGGCGCCGGGGGGGCCGAGGGGCGACAGCCCCCCCCCGTCGTCCATCAGGATGTCATCCAGGCTCCCCTCGGGCCCCCCCAGGTCGAGGGGCAGGCCCAGCTCCGAGGGCAGCTCGTCGGCCACCGCCAGGTCCAGGAGGCACTGGGGAGTGGAGGGGGGGCCCGGGGGGAAGGGGGGGCCGCCGGAGGCCTCCTCGCAGCCCACCTCGGCCATGGGAGCCACGGGGGGGATGAGGGGCAGCCCGTGAACCTGCGCCTGCAGCTCCAGTTCCTGGGGGGACGGGGGAGCTCAGAAAATACACCCCCTGATTCCACAGATCCCCCCAAATCCCAACACATCCCTTCCCTGGATTCTGCTCCCCCTGACCCCGGGGGCACCTTCCTCCAGACAACCCCAGAATGGCCCCACAGCCCCCCCCCTGCAGTCCCCCACTTCCACCCAGCCCTAAAACCCCCCAGTTTGGACCCACAGCTCGTCCAACCCAGCTCCTTTCCAGCTCCTCAGGTCCCTCATCCCACACCTTCCAGCCCCATAAACAACCTCCCCAGTCCCTCGGGTTCCTCATCCCACAACTTCCAGCTCCTCAGGTCCCTCATCCCACACCTCCAGCCCCATAAACGACCTCTCCAACCCCTCAGATCCCTCATCCCACACCTTCCAGCCCCACAAACGACCTCTCCAGCCCCTCGAGTCCCTCATCCTGCACCTCCCAGCCCCATAAACAACCTTTTCAGCCCCGTAAATGACCTTTCCAGCCCCTCAGGTCCCTCATCCCACACCTTCCAGCCCCATAAATGACCTTCCAGCCCCACAAACGACCTCCCCAGCCCCTCAGGGCCCCCTCCAGACCTGGACCCGGAGCTGGAGGCTGCGATTTGCCTGCTCCAGGCGCTGCTGGTGCAGCTCCAGCTCCCGGGAGCGCTGGGTCTCCTTCTGCAGCTTCCTGATGTAATCCACCGAGGCCTTCAGGATCGTGCCCTTGTTCCAGCGCATCTCCCTGCCGGAATCGAGGCGCCTGGGTCCCGCTGGCACCCACCCTGGGTGCTGGGGCCCACCCAGACCCACCCTGGGGGTCCCTGGATGTTGGGATCCCTCCCAAGCCCTGCCCTGGTCCCTCCCAGGGTTTCTGGGGTCCCCAGGGATCATGGAGTCCCTGCCAGGGTTTCTCCCAGGATCCACCCTGGGTGTCCCTGGATAATGGGGTCCCTCCCAGGATCCATCCCTGGATGTCAGGAGCCCTCCCAGGGTTTCTCCCAGGATCCACCCTGGGGGTTCCTGCGTGATGGAGTCCATCCCAGGACCCACCCTGGGGGTCCTTGGATGATGGGGTCCCTCCCAGGGTTTCTCCCAGGATTCATCTTGGGGGTCTCTGGATGTTGGGATCCCTCCCAGACTCTGCCCTGGGGGTCCCTGGATGTTGGGATCCCTCCCAAGGTCCCTCCCAGGCCCCACCCTGGGGGTCCCTGGATGTTGGAGTCCCTCCCAGAGTCCCTCCCACGGTGGTCCCTGGATGTTGGGGTCCCTCCCAGGACCCACCCTGGGGGTCCCTGGATGTTGGGGTCCCTCCCAGAGTCCCTCCCAAGGTGCTCCCTGGATGTTGGGGTCCCTCCCAGGCCCCACCCTGGGGGTCCCAGGGCCCCCCCGCCCCCGGGTTCCCCCAGGGAGGGGGTCCCCCACTCACGGGTCGTTGGATTTGGGGATGAGGGTCCCCAATTCCTTGATCCGGTCGTTGATGTTGAAGCGCCGGCGCCGCTCGACTGCAGGGGAGGGTGGAGGGGGAAAACACGGGTCAGACCCCCCCCGGTCACCCCCCCCCGGCCCCCCCCACCCCCCCCTGGGGTCCCCCCCGAGCTCACTCAGGTTGTGGTTGTCCTTCTTCTGCCGCTCCTTCAGCAGAGCCTTCGCCTCCGTTTCTGGGGGGATGGAGGGGGACAATCAACGACCCCCACGGAGAGAGAGACCCCCCCCAGCCTCTCCCTCCCACCTGACAGAGACCCTTTTGATCCTCCCTGACCATTGGGGCTCCCCAGGGACCCCCGAGACCCTCCCCAGCCTCTTCTTCCCACCTGACAGTGACCCCTTTGATCATTGGGACTCCTCAAAGACCCCCCAAACTTTGCCCCACAGCCCCAGTCTGGAAGCCTTCCCCACCCCACTGAACCCCCCAATCCCTTTTAACCCCTTCAGAGCCTCCCCAAGGACCACCAACGACCCCCCAAACTTTGCCCCACAGCTCCTCCCCTCCCCCAGGAACCTTCCCCACCCCACTGAACCCCCCCTGACCCCTTTTAACCCCTTCAGAGCCTCCCCAAGGACCCTCTCACACCCCACCCCCGAGTCTTTTCGGGCTCCTTCCCATCCCCACAAAGTCTCTTCTAAACATTTTCTGCCCCATAACCCCACCCAGGACCCCCACAGACTCAGCTGGGACCCCTCCCCACCATAATGACCCCCCCCAGGCCCCTCTCAGTCCCTTCAGACACCCCCAGGCCCCAAAAGGAGCCCCCCCCCTGTACCTGAGAGCTCGGCCTTGACCCGGGGCAGCTCGGCCGGGCAGGAGCTGCTGCCGCCCTGGGGGGGGCTGAAAACCTCCAGGAGGGGCCCGGGGGCGGGCAGCTGAGGGGCAGGGGCGGGGTCACTCGGGCCACGCCCACTCGGGCCACGCCCACCCACCCCAACCCACCCCCTCAGGTGTGTCCGGCTCCCCCCGGGGTGGGGGTGAACAGGCTCCACCCAGGTGGGGTGAGGCCACGCCCACCACGAGTTCCGCCTGGTTTGGCCACGCCCCGCTTGGCAAGCCCCGCCCTCCCACAACCAACTAGGGACAAGCCACACCCTCTCTTAGGCCACACCCACCCACAAGACAACAAAGCCCCACCCCCTACCTTATATAGGCCAGAGCCACACCCCCCATGTCTGGAGTGGGTGGGGCTACACCAAGCCCCACCCTCAGCTGCGCTGCTCCGCCCCACAGTTACGGCCAATAAGGAGTGGTGGGTGGGGTTTTGTGCATGCCACGCCCCTTCAGGAGCAGAAGGGGTGTGGTTCATTAAGACCCACCTCCAGACAACACAAAGGGGCGTGGTTTGCTGTCCTCATCACAGAGGGGGCGTGGCTTCCTAGTGCCCACCCCAAGCCACAACAAAGGGGGTGTGGTTTGATAGTCCCCACCCCAAAGTGGGCGTGGCTCATTAGTCCCCTCCCAAGTCACAACAGAGGGGTGTGGCTTGTCAGGCCCCGCCCCCCTCACCGTGCTGGGGAGCTGGAGGGGCCCCTCGGCGGGGCCGAAGCTCAGCAGCTCGTCGTAGCTGGACTCGAGGCTGATGATCTCATCGATGACGTCATCGATCTGCTCGGGGCAGAAAACGGCAAATCTGGGTCAGGGCAGCCCCGCCCAGAGACCCCCCCGGAGCCACGGGATGGGGACCGTGTCACCAACCAACCCCTGTGGTGTGTCACCACCCCCTGTATTGCATCGTCGGTCCCCAAAATGTCACCCCCCCCGTGGTGTGTCATGACCCCCTGTATTACATCATTATCCCCCCTATTACATCCCCCCCCCCCGTTTGGGCTCATTCCCCCCCCCATATCACGTCACCACTCCTGGTATTGCATCATTGCTCTCCTTATCACGTCTCCACCCCCACTATGGCACCACCACCCCCTTATCACATCACCACCCCCAGGATTGTATCGTTATGCCCCATATGACATCACCACCTCTAGTATTGCATCATTGTCCCCCAAATCATGTCCCCACCCCCAATATTGCATCATTACCCCCCATATTACATGACCACCCCCAGTATTGTGTCATCGCCCCCCTTATCACGTCACCACCCCCAGTATGGCGTCATCACCCCCTTATCAACATCATTATCCCTAGTATTGCATCATTGCTCCTCACATCATGTCACCACTTCCGGTATTGCATCATTGCCCCCCATATCATGTCACCACCCCCAGTATGGCATCGTTACCCCCATATCACATCAGAACCACCAGTATGGCATCGTTACACCCCCCGTGACATCACCACCCCCAGTATTGCGTCATTGCCCCCCTCATTACGTCACCACTCCCTGTATTGCATCATTACTCTCCATATCACATCACCCCCCTCAGTATTGCATCATTGCTCCCCTTATCATGTCACCACCCCCAATATTGCATCATTACCCCCCATATAGCATCACCACCCCCAGTATTGCATCATTGCTCTCCTTATCAAGCCATCACGCCCAGTATTAAATTATCATCCCCCTTATCATGTCACCGCCCCCGGTATTGCATCACAACCCCCTTATCACATCACCACCCCCAGTATGACATCATCACCCCCCATATCACGTCACCACCCCCTACCTGCCATCGGGTAACTCCCCGTGACGCCACGGGACGACCCCCAACCCCCTGGTGCCACCTCACGGCTGCCACCACCCCCCTGGTGACACCGCAGCCCCCTCGGGTGACATCAGGGCCACCCCACGCGCGACCCCACAGCCCCTGTTCCTTTCCACCCCCTCTCTCCCACCAGGGACCCCCCCCCAAAAGCTCTCACCTCCTTCTCGGAGCCGGGGCCGATGTGCAGCAGGGCCAGGGGGCTGTGGGGGGTGGGGGGTGCGGGCGGGGGTCCCGGGGGGGGG